GCCCCGCCACCCTCTCCCTCCGCTCCAACTGCCTCTCCTTCCCCTCAGACCCCTCCCCCTCCTCCCCCACCTCCTCCCTCTGCGGTGCCCGCCACTCCCAGCGTCCCCTTGCCGCCTGCTTCGCCTTCTGCGGCCTCTCTCCCGATGAAGATCCATGCTCGGGCGTGGGCACGTGCCGGCTGGGCAAGACAGGCAAGCCCACGTGTGAGTGCGAGGAGGGGTATGTGAACCGCGTGACGCCGGGGTCGTGCGTGCCGGAGGTGCTAGGTGCGTCCTTTTCGCTCTCCCTGGCCGACTCGCCCTTTGTGCGCCTCAAGGGCTCCGCGTCTATGTCAGGGAAATATGCCTCTGGCATTCCTGCGGTTGCAGGGGTTGCTGGTGTTGCAGGGGTTGCAGGGGTTGCTGGTGTTGCAGGGGTGGTGGCTGGAGAAGAAGCATTTGATCCAAGCGCGGTTCCCACGTTTGATGTGCCGCCTCAGAGCTTTAAAGACCAGCTGCTGGTGAGCCCGGGTGTGCGCGGCGCGTGGGGCGTTGTCACGCTGCTGCCGCTCGTCACCCTCTTCGCCTTCTCGTCCCCAAAAGACCCGTGCGGCCTCCAGCTCGCCTTCAACTTCTCCTTTGCCTTCTCCATGTCTTCTCAATCCTTAAAACTCGACGTCCCCTCCTCCTCCTCCTCCTCCTCCTCCTCCTCCTCCTCCTCCTCCTCCTCCTCCTCCTCCTCCTCCTCCTCCTCCTCCTCCTCCTCCTCCTCCTCCTCCTCCTCCTCCTCCTCCTCCTCCTCCTCCTCCTCCCCCTCTGCCTACTCCTCCTCCTCCTACTCTTCCTCCTCAGTTTCATTCCCCTTCCTCTCCCCCACTGCAGCGGCAAGCACGACGGGCAGGCAGGCACCCGCTGCAGCAGCAGCAGCAGCAGCAGCAGCAGCAGCAGCAGCAGCAGGGGACGGGCTAGCCTTTGTGATAAGTGCAAATGAGCCGACAGGGGGGCCAGGCATGGGGTACAAGGGCATGGGCAAGAGGAGCGTGGCAGTGGAGCTAGACACGCGGAAGGACGCCAGAAACGGCGACCCGGATAGCAACCACGTGGGGGTCAACGTGGGGGGCAACAGCCGGTCGATTGCCGCAGCTACTGTGGATGGCTTTGTTCTGAACAACGGCGAAATGCGATACGTTTGGATCATGTACGAACCACTGAGCGGTGAACCCAATGCTCCTGCAGGGGGCGCCGGCAACACCAGCAGCAGCAGCAGCAGCAGCACTAGCAGCAGCAGCAGCAGCGGCGGCGGGAGCAGTGGAGGAGGTGAGGGGGGATGGCTGCGGGTGTTTCTGGCAGCAGGAAATGTGCGGCCGGTCCGAGCGTTGCTGGAGGTGCCGCTTTCGCTCTGCTCTGTGCTCAAGCCGTCGCCATCGCGGCCCTCGGTGTTCCTCTCCTTCTCCGCCTCCTCCTCTTCCTCCCCCGTGCAGGCACACCGTGTGCTCTGGTGGGAGCTGCAGACAGGTGTGTGTGTGTGTGTGCCTTTGTGTGTGTGTGCCTTTATGTGTGTGTGTATGCCTTTGTGTGTGTGTGTGTGTGCACTTGTGTGTGTGTGCGTGTGCCTTTGTGTATGTGTGTGTGCCTTTGTGTGCGTGTGTGTGCCTTTGTGTGTGTGTGTGTGCCTTTGTGTGTGTGTGTTGGTGGGTGTGTGCATGCACGTGTCGAGTGCGTGTCTTGTGTGTGTGATTGTGTGTGTGATTGTGGGTGTGTGAGTTCGCATGCATTCGTGCATCAGTCGCCATATGCTCTTTCCTGTACATCTCTGTCTGTTAACGGCTCTCTCTCTCTCTATCTCCCTCTCCCTCTCCCACCATGAATCAAACGACCCATGCACACACACGTGCTCCTCTCCCATTGCTCCACCACCCCCCATCGCTGCCTCTTAAAGCCTCCTCTCTCCCATCCCCAACCCATCTCCCCACCACCCCACCAGCCCCATCGGACCCCTGCTTTCGCATGTCTTGCATGCCCCCCACCAGCGTCTACTGCCTTTTGAGCCGCCTTAAAGGATGATTTCTGAGGCGCCTCACAACTCCTCTCTCCCATCCCATCGCATCTCCCCACCACCCCACCAGGCCCATCGGACCCTTGCTTCGGTGTGTCTCCCCTGTCCCCTACCAGCGTCTACTGTCGCTCCGACGTCTCCTCCTGCCCCATCAGAACCACAGGCTCAGCCACTGGGGCGGTTGCTGCTGCTGGAGGAGGAGGGGGGCAAGGGCAGGGCGGGCAGACAGGAGGCTGTGAAATTGGTGAGTTTGGAGGGAGCGTCAAGCATCAGCCATGGAGATTGAAGAGCATTTGGCATGGAGCATTTGCCACAGCTTTTGCCACTAAGCAATGAGCAGTGAGCAGTGCGCTGCACTGCCTGCCGCCTCGCGTATTTTCCCTGTCCCCCCTCTCCCCTCCCCCCCCTTTCCCTCCTTCCCCGTGCTGCAATGCCCTGTGTCGCCTTTCCATCCTCCTAAGACAAGTTTTGAAGCTCCTTAAAGCCCTGGGTCGTCTATTCATCGACTTGAGGCCTTGCTGGCCCATGGTGGCACTTATCTGTGTGCCTAATAACCGCCAACATTGTCCTCCCATCCGTGTCTGTTGACAACTGGGTGTGCATGTGTGCATGTGTGCGTGTGTGTATGCAGATGCATGTGGCATGGGTGACAGGAACCCATGCGGCGTGGGCACGTGTGTGAATGACGGCTACGGTGCATACACCTGTGTGTGCCCACCCAACTTCTATCTCGGCACCACTGAATTCGGCGCCCCCTCCTGCGCCCCCGGTCAGTACCCCCCCCCCCCTCCCTCTTCCCGTCCCCACTCCCCCCCTGCTTCTCACGTCCTGCTGCCTGACTCGCTGCAGCAGCCCTGTGCTGCTGACCCCTGACTCTCTCCAGCCCTTCAGTGCCCTGCCCATTGTTCTTGGCCAAAGCGACCCCGCATGTGTACTGCTACTCCTCTTCAAATCCAGTGAGCATCACAGCAGACCAGTGCGGCTGTCGCTTCGGTTCTTGGGACTCACCAGCTGAGGCGCTGCAAAAGTGGCTCAATATTCAACACCCTCCACCCCACACACCACACCCCCCCACCCCACACCCCACATCCCTCCCCTCCACCCCACACCCCACACCCCCCAGGCAACAGTGAGAACTTTCTGAATGTGACAGTGAGCACGATGTGGTGCTACCACGTGCACCCCATGTTCGGCCTCTCACTTGATGAGTTCCTCCTGCAGAACCCGGTGCGTGCGGCATCGGGAGCTGCAGGGATGGATGGGATGGGACGGGATGGGATGGGATGGGACGGGACGGAACGGGACGGGACGGGACGGGACGGGACGGGACGGGACGGGACGGGACGGGACGGGATGGGATGGGATGGGATGGGATGGGATGGGATGGGATGGGATGGGATGGGATGAGGTGGGATGGGATGGGATGGGATGGGAGCGTTGTTCCATCGTATGTAGAGAGCCAGATAAAGTGGGTGGGAGAATGAGAGGAGAGAGAGAGGTTGGGTTGGGGTGAGAGCAGGGGTTCCGGTTGATCATAGTTGATTCGTTCCCGTTCTTGCTTCACAGTGATGCTCATCTTCCCGTTCATCCCTACCCCTTTCCCTACCCCTTTCCCTACCCCTTTCCCTACCCCTTTCCCTACCCCTTTCCCTACCCCTTTCCCTACCCCTTTCCCTACCCCTTTCCCTACCCCTTTCCCTACCCCTTTCCCTACCCCTTTCCCTACCCCTTTCCCTACCCCTTTCCCTACCCCTTTCCCTACCCCTTTCTCTACCCCTTTCCCTACCCCTTTCCCTTCCCTTTCCCTACCCCTTTCCCTTCCCCTTTCCCTACCCCTTTCCCTACCCCTTTCCCTACCCCTTTCCCTACCCCTTTCCCTACCCCTTTCCCTACCCCTTTCCCTACCCCTTTCCCTGCCCCTTTCCCTACCCCTTTCCCTACCCCTTTCCCTACTCCGTACCCCTACTCCTACCCGGGTTACCCCTACCTCTAGCCGTTGACCGCACCTCTCCCCGACTGCCCCCCTTGCACCGAGTGCAGATGCTGGTGTGCGAGGCCTTTGAATATGAACTTCCAAGTAGAGAGAAGCCTTTTGTCGTGCCTCAAAATTTGCCTCAAAAGTTGCCTCAAAAGTCGCCTCTCTGCCACTGTCCCTCCTTGCTTACCGCTAAGTGCAGGAGGTGGATTGTGAGCAGCCCCTTCCTTTGAGCGCTGTGATCAGTGTGAAGCCCAGCCCAACCTATCTGAACTGCTCTGTCTTCTACACCACTGTCCAGGTGCACAGCACTTGCTGGTTCTAAGTCGACTGTAAGGTCGTCTGCACCACTGTCCACACCACTGTCCGCACCACTGTCCGCACCACTGTCCGCACCACTGTCCGCACCACTGTGCACGTCACATCCTCATGCCCTTCTCTACCCGTGCACCCGCCCTCCCATGCTGCTTATTTTCACCCCTCCTCCTTCCCGGCCTCTCTATCCCCACCCTCCTCTCCCTCCCCGCCCAGTTTCCTTTGCTTCTTCCCGTGCTCCCATCCATTACTCGTCCCTCCTTTCGCTCATGTGTTTTTTGCCTTGCTCGCACACTTGTGGCTCTGCACACGTGTTTGTGCCTTGCGCGCATCTGGATTCGTGCTTTGAGAAATCCAAAATAACGCCTGGTTTGTCGTCTTCCTGTCTTTGTCCCCCACTTCGTCGCTCCCCTTCTCCTCCTCCCCACCGTCACCCAACAGCCCTTTCTCTCCATCTCTTTCCCCATCCTTCTAACAACCTCTCCTCTCCCCTTCCTTCTCCCCACTTCCCCTCTCCCCTCCCCCCTGTGCAACCAACTCCCAGCAGTCTCGAGCCTCCCCTCACTCCAAACTCCTCCCTTACTTCCAAACCCGCCCTTCCCTTCTCCGCCCTTCCCTTCTCCGCCCTTCTCCATCCCGATCCCTCCCCCCCCCACCTCCCGTCCACCCCACCAGAACGACACGTGTGAGTCCATTGCCGCCCTCTTCTCTCTCGCCTCCTCCTGCTCGGACCCCTCCCAGCCCTGCACCACCGACCTCCTCCGCCTCAACCCGGGCCTCGACTGCTCCATCACCGCAGCAACAACCACCACAACAACACCAACAACACCAACAACAGAACCTTTAAGCAGCAGCAGCAGCAGCAGCAACCTTGACAGTCCCCTACCCACCGGGCTCTCCGTCTGTATAGAGCGTGCCAACACACTGGAGCCTGTGTGCGGGGAGAGTGTGACAGTGCAGAGTGCGGGGAACGCGACGTGTGCATTGTTGCTGGCGGGGAGGCAGCCGCCGCTGAGTGCACTGGAGCTCTACCGCATGAACCCCGGCATCTACTGCCACCGCCTGCTGCCGCCCTCCACTGACTCGGGATTCCCGGGGTCCGAGGTACGGCGGAGTGGGGTGGGAGGTGTGGTGGGGTGGAGAGGGTGGTGGTATGGGTGGAGTGAGATGTGGGGTGGGGTGTAATTGGAGGTGGGGTGGGGTGTTAGGGTCTGGAGATTCGCATGTATTGCAGCATGTATCGCGTCGCTCTGGCTTGGCTAGTTCCCTGTCCCTCCCAACATTGTTCTCCCCTGGTTGGGCTCTTGTTGCTGTTGCAGGTTTGTACCGACGTCAGTATTGGCATGACAATGGGCTCATGTCCACGGGCCGATGTGTACCTTGCCACAGATAATGACAGATGCAGTGCCATTCAGTTCAGGTTCTTCAAGGGCATAAAAAGTTGTTACAAGAAAATTAATGGCTATGATTGCTTGGATAGACTGAGAAGGGGAACAAGGATTTGCTTACCAGACCCCGCTAAGATCAGGCAAGGAAAATGCTCTGTTTAAAATGTGTAAAAAAATATGGTTGATTCGTTTGGCCCATGACTTCAATTCCAGAGTATCTTCTCTCCAGGTGATAGACGGTAATCCATTTTCCAACATTAGAACGGGTGTTTGGAATCCTGGAGGAGCAGGTACTAGCTAGATGTTTTAGCAAAAAGGTGGGGTTTTACCAGATTCCCCCGCTGACGAGAAGTCAGAGGGGATCTTAAATGGCCATGGGGACAGTCTATACGGAAAGTACCATTAATAGTAGGGCAAGTTATTGTAACTATTGTATAAGGCCCATCTGTGGTCGTTACCTACAGTGCACATTCTGAAATCGTCGAATGAAACCCCCCAAATGTTCGACCATCTCGCCGCGTCAAGCCCCTCGCCCTAAAACACCTCACGTTGCGACTATTAACTTCCTGCATGTTACGAGTGCAATTGAGTGAGCGAGTGAGAATTGCACTATCGAAGCAAAACAGTATATTAAACGAAAGCATGAGCGAAGAATATATGGCGAAGCTAGAGTGGTAACGGTAATGTGGTGAAAATGGGGTGCGCTACGGGCCTAGCGCCGAGGCTGGGAATTGTCGAGGCGGAGGTCCGGAGCGCGGGTTACCAACCGAACCGTAAGGTTGGGTCGCATCGTGAACAGTGGCGGGAACGGTGGTCGAGGCGAGTATAGCGAGTGGTAACGGTGCATTGTTGAGAGTTGTTGGAGGGAACAGTGGTGTACGCGCTGAGCAGGGACCAGGGGTTTTTTTATCAGAGTAAATTACTCTGTTTCTCTGAAAATCAGAGTGGTTTTGAAGGGGTCACTCTGACGTGTCTGGGTAAGTTTTTTGGAGTATAAATTTTCTCTGATTTGTCAGGGTTCTGATTTTAGCTACTCTGAGAGACCAGTGTATATTTGTGGCGGATGTACTTTTCTCTGTACAGGGTATAGGCATTTCGACCGACCCTCCCTCCCCCCCCCGGCCCCCCAATTGGTGGGTTAAGCAGAATATACAATGTCCGAAAGCCCCCTAACGATATCCGCGTAGCACAACGCTTTCTGTAGTTCTTTGGTAGGAGTGCAGAAGGCCTGAGTTCAATAATTGAGAGGGCACTCAGAGTTGGAAAATTCAGTACACTGGGTCCTAGAGTATATTTTTCAGAAGTGAAGTTTTCTCTGACAAATCAGAGTAATGCTCATAATGAACCCTAAATTTCAGAGTTCCCTAGAAAACAGCTCTGGAAATCCGAGTAGTGAAAATCCAAAAAAAAGCCCTGGTAGGGACGCGAAGCAAGGAAAAGGAATTTTCCTTACACTCCCCCCCCCCTAAGCAGGCCCTCCCTACAAAAGCGCATGTACGTCCCGACGGGGATACTCGGGTGTCAGAGACAACAAGTAGAAAGATAGAACACGAAAGAGCGTTTTGCACTAGCAGGCAGTTGAGTACATATAGGAAACCCTAAATTGGGTTGTATTCGCTATAGAGTACCCCACTACAGGCTAGACAAATACAACATTTTGACACACCCCCATAGCCAAAGTGGGGTGTAATCAGCAAAATAAGCAGGCAGAGCAATAGTTCACAATGATAAGCAAAGCTAGAGGCTATCATAGAGGGCAAGTGAGGAGGAAGAGAGACTGTGGGGGTGAGAAGATGGGAGGCGACGGGGGGCGACGCGCTGGTCGACGGGGCAGGAAACCTCCGTGCGCCTCAATGCGTACGACGGGCAGAAAAATGCCGCGCGCCCGGAGTGCGCGGCGGGCAGAAAATCGCCATGCGCCCCGAGCGCGTGGCGGGAAGAAAAAAACGTCGCGCGCCACGGGGCGCGCGACAGACAGGACAGCAGCGGAAGCTAACGGTGGGCCCACAGGCCAGGAGCGTAACCGCTCTAATAGCATGTGAAAATAAGAATGAGGAATGAATGAACTAGGAAGCAGGTGGGTATAAGTAGGATAACCTAAAAGTGTTGTACCCCATATTGTCTACCCCACTACAGCCTACACAGAATATGTCCTATATGTTTGACATCGGGGAGGACGGGGTGGTTCCCGACTCTATCCAGGTGAACCCAGTTGTCTTTGGTGGGCGTGCGGTCTTTCCAACGGATCAGAATTCGATTCTGCGGTGGCGGTGGCGGTAGGCGCTGCGCTTAGCGATGATGTTTGATTTTTTTATTGCATCTGCTGCTCAGGTCCGAGTTGCCTGTAAATTTTCGTTGAATTGTTGCGCGCGTGGCACCGGGTTGTCGGAATTCGGGGTCATGGGTACTGTAGGGTCTTGTCCGTCGTTTAGGTAAAACGGTGACTGTTGGGTCGTGGCAGATGGCGAGTTGTTGTATGCGAATTCTATGAGTGGCAGTTGCTGTTTCCACATGGTCGGGTTGTTGCACGTGGCTCGGATTAATTGCTCCATGATCTGGTTTGTCGTTCTATATGTCTGTTAGTTTTGGGGTGGTACGATAAACTGAACCGTGGTCGCGTGCCGAACTGTTGCCATATGTTCCGCCAGAAGTTGCCAGGGAATTTCGTGTTGCGGTCGCTGATGATCTCCGTTGGTATCCCGTGTAGGCGAACGATTGTGATGATGAGGAGGTGGGCTGTTTCTTCGGCTGTAATTGATTTTTTGCAGGCTGCAAAATGTGCCATCTTCGTCAGCCAATCGACAATGACCAGGATCACGTTGTTCCCGCTAGCTCCAGCCGGTAGCCCCGTGACGAAGTCCATCGTCACCTACTGCCAAGCACGCTATGGGGGTGGTATCGGCTGTAACTGTCCTATCCGCCGCTTCCATGACGATTTCATGAGTTAGCAGGTGGGGCACGATGCCACTTGTCGTTGCACGTCAGTCAGCATCTCGGGCCAATAATAATACCGCTGCAGCTGCTGTCGTGTTTTCTCTACTCCAAAATGTCCTAAGGTAACCCCGTTGTATGCCTCCTGTAGTAACAGCTCCCTTAGTAACGTGTAGCCCGGTACCCAGATGCGATCTGTGCTGGCTTTTACGTAATAAACCCCCTTTGTTGCTGCAAAGTGTTGCGAGTTTCCTCAGTTGAAGAACGAGTCTATTTAGTAGCCGTGGGTAAATAGTCTTGTGAGCAGTGGGTTGGTCTTGGCGAGTAGTATGGCGTGAATTGGGGCAGTGGGACGGGTCAGTGCGTCGGCGATGTTCGGTGCCCCCTTTTCGTAGGTGACCGTGTAATAGATATTTGACTCGAGGAAATCGAGCCAGCGAACCTGTCGTGGGTTGAGATGTGGCTGTGTGTGGAGCTACTGTAGGGATACATGGTTTGCCCATACTGTCAAGTCTGCTCCGGTCAAGTAACATCACCAAAACTTGAAAGCATGCACGATCGCGAGCATTTCGTGGTCGTGTATCGGGTAATGATTTTCGGGCGGATGTAGTTGAGAAAACTGAAACGAGGATGAATGAACTATGAAACAGTTGGGTACAAGTACTAACCCTAATTGGGTTGTACCCCTTATGGGCTACCCCACTACAGCCTACACAAAAGCATAAGCTATAATGTTCTGACACACAAGACTATCGTAATACTAGCTTGGTAGGTAGGTGAAAGAGTAAAACGGCCTAGGCTTAGAAGCCAAGGCCAACGAGATCGAGTAGGTTGTGCCAAGGGAGGAAAGTCGAGTGAGTTGAGAAGGAATGAATTCACTTTAGGTTTCAAGGAACATATAGCATAGGAAACAAAGAAGGTGCACCACCAAACAATGTTTATAATAACTACACTAACTACAGCTACAGGCAGTTACAAATATAAGTTCTGACACTCCCCCATAACTGCCTGCAGCAGGAGTTTGTGCAGAATACAACCTGCAGGTGTACACATGCAAAATAATAAGAACAAGCAACAGCAGGAACTGCAGGCGGGCTGACACTAGCTGGTCACCCCTTCCATCTCCTCACCCTCCTCCTTCCCCTCCCCCACACTGCTGCAGAAGCAGCAGAGAAGGGGGGGGGAAGAGAGGAGAGGTGGAGGGACGGCTGCTGGTTGCCTCACACCCGCCACCCCGGTGCCACTCCCCCTGCTCCCCCACACCCTCACACCCTCCCCCCCAGCGGCAGCTGCAGCAGTGGGAACGAAAGGAGGAGGAGGGGAAGGGAAGGAAACGACCCAAAGCTCCAACACCCGCCACCCCCATACCCTCCACCCCACGGCTGCAGGGAGACAAAGGAGGAGGGGGTGGGCGGGAAGAAAGCCGTAGAGCGGCTACAATGTGTCGGCTCAGGTTGCTCAAGGGCGGCTGCAAGGAGAGCGGGTGTGGAGAGGCCCGTCGCGTGCCACGGGGCGCACGACGGGTAAGTTTAAGTTTAGGGCCCGATCGTGTTCCTCGGGGCGCACGACCAGCAGGGCACCGTCGCGTGCCACGGGGCGCACGACGGGCAGGTTTAGGGCACCGTTGCGTGCCACGGGGCGCGCGACGGGCAGAGAAGGAGTCACACGCCAACCGGGGGCGCGACAATAGAAAATCGCCACGCGCCCTAGGCGCGCGACCGGAAAAGCGTAGCAGCGGAAGCATGAGACGGGCCCACAGGCCAGGACGTAAGTCGCTCTGATAGCATATCGTAATACTAGCTTGGTAGGTAGGTGAAAGAGTAGAACGACCTAGGCTTAGAAGCCTAGGCCAACGAGATCGAGTAGGTTGTGCCAAGGGAGGAAAGTCGAGTGAGTTGAGAAGGAATGAATTCACTATAGGTTTCAAGGAACATATAGCATAGGAAACAAAGAAGGTGCACCACCAAACAATGTTTATAATAACTACACTAACTACAGCTACAGGCAGTTACAAATATAAGTTCTGACAAAGACCAGTCAAGCAAAGCAAAGCAAAACAAGCTCAGGGTGGATCACAAAGTCACCACACATTCCGAGCACAAGTTCAAGGCCACAAGGCGAGTTCAAATGCAGGAGTACATATATATATAAAAGGCTAGACAAGCAAGAGCAGGTGTATATATATTTATATATATATATATGTAATAGTACAAGCAAGGTCAAGAGGTGAGCAAGTGAGGCAAGGCAGGAACAAGACCCAGCTGAGTACAGAAGCGCTGATGATCACAAGGCGCAAGCGCCT